AGTACCGGTACCGGAAAAAAAGAAGATTTATTCATAACACACGTGAAAGACCCAGGAAAACAGAGTTAACGATAAAAACGATAACAAAATAACGATAAAAACTCTGAAAACCATTTATTTAAAATGACTGGTTCCCAGTGTTTCGTGCCTGTTTTCAAACAGTCAAAACAAACAGCTCTTGATTACTGTTATGAATGAGAGGAATGATTACAGCGAGCAAAAAGTGCCTCGCCATCGAAACCAATTCATGAAGGGTAATGCTATTAGAACACACTGCAATACAAAGATGAACTAAATCGTGATTCCCTCCAGAACCGTATTTTTCCCCTTAAGCTGGTCAGTAAAAAAAAAAAAACTATCTGGAGGGCCACCTAAGAGTTTAATGTGCAGGAAAAACATTGGTCTTAATGTCATGAAAAACCTCTGGAAAGTTCTCTCAACCCCAAAACCTGTGTTAGGTATGCAGAAATGCTCCTGGTTACACAAACTGGCCAAGACAAACAAATGAGGAAAAGCACATAGGCCTACAGAAGAATCTCAAATGAAAAATGATGTGTGTGAATAGAGAGGTTGATGGGTATAAATAGAGGCGCACACTTACTTGTGCGAGTACACCAGCACTCAGATTTTTACTACTGTATTCCATGCAAGATTAACTTCAAGGTTTTCCAAGGAATGTTAACAGAAAAATGTTAGAGAGCGGTCAGAAAATTAACCGTATCAACATCGACATCTATGGAGGTGAACATGCTGGTGATAGAAGAACTGCATAAAACAGTGCTCATTCATATTACAGCCTTGTTTGAATAAACTTTCCTTGGGTTGGAGTGCGGGCCAGCTTTCTTTCACTGTGAGCATCCCGTGTGTCATGGTCCCTGTGCCTCCCCGGCCAGCCCAGTGTGGCCACAACTGTTTGTTGTTTTTCTCTCGCTCTGTCTCTCCTACCTGTCTGCCTGGGCGGAGCTCTGATTGGGCTCCTGCCCTTGGCCCACGCACCTGCAGCTGATCGAGTGAATTGCAGTTCTCTGGCTCTTAAGGCTGGGCTCTGAGCTATTCGTCGCTGGAATATTGAGTAACTCTCGTTAGTATTGCCTGGCTTCCTTGCGATTCTACTGTTCCCGTGTTTGCCTTCAACTTACCCTCGTCTGTGTAAACAGGTTTACCTGGATCAGCCCTTTTGTGACCCCTGGACCCCGTGAGCAGGAGAGTGAGCTGAGCTGCTTGTGTGGAGACTGTTTGGACGAGGAGCAGAGCGAGTGCGAAGAAGTGTGTCTCCCCAGCCTATCGATCCCCGGGACCCTGGTGTTTCCCCCCCCCCCCCCCTTCACGTGTATATAGTGCACCAGTGTGATTAATAAAGTGTCGTTGAACTGTGCTACTTCAGTCTGCGCCTGAGTCCGTTCCACACCCGTGACAATTCATCTGTGCTTGTATTCAAGTTTACAGCAAATCATCTGAGAAATGCCTTTGAACTGGTGCCTGTTTCTGGGCTTTTCTTTTGACACAAACTGCTCACAAAGAAGGACGAATGCTTTAGGGAACAAAAGCTTTGGAATGTATTCTGCAAGTACAGGTCAAACGTAATAGCCTCATTGTTTTATAGCAATGCTGAATTAACTTATGTCACTGCAGGACAGTGCAGCCAGTGGGGCTAATTGTTATAGTCACTGTGCACGACAAGAAAGCATTTGACATGGTGAACTGCTGCCACGGTTTTAGAGAGACGTCTGTTTGTAATTAGAAGTAGTTGTTCTGTTTAATTTGGGGTTTTTCTCCTTTGCTTCTGCGTAGAAGACGACCAATCTGCACATCGAGAAGCTGTCCTGTCTTCAGCTAGGAGTCCTTCTCCAGCTGCTGCACATGCTAACAGGCAAAACATCAGGGAGTAATACAAGCTTTTAATGCTTATGTGAACCACAGGCGTGCTTATAATGTATCAACCTGCAGTGAGACTGTAAAAGCAAAATCTTTCTTGATTTAATTTTCAGTGCACAAATAATAACAGATTCAGGAATGTATTCAAGGAAGAGACTGGCAAAGAAAGAGTGGGATAGTCAGGGAGCTGAAGGAAGGAGTACTAAAAGGCTAGGTGCACAGCAAAGAGAGAGGTGTCACTGGCACAGGAAAAGGCTTGTAGTGAGTTGTATGTGAGCTGGACACTAAGGAGAAAATGATTTTTAATGAATGGCAAGGCACATAAATTGTCCTGGAAGAGAGTAACCAAGTATAGAGATGGAAATGTGCTAATGTGAAGAATGTGTGTTGAGAAGAGAGAAGGAGTACTTTGGATGAAAATTGAATTAGAGAAGGAAGCGAGGCAACTCTGAAGAGGATGGAGACGGGAGCATAGAGAGGGTAGGAGTGAAGGCTATGATAAGGTGCGAAGAGAGTAACTGTGGTGCTGGATTTGTGGATGTAGTGAAGGTGGACATGCAGGGGGTTGGTGTGACTGAGGAGGATGCTAGAAATAGAGAGATGGAGGCGGATGATCCACTGTAGCGACCTCTAAAGGGAGCAGCCGAAAGAAGAAGAAGCACAAATAATTCTAATCATGCTTTCTTTTATTCTCAGTACTAAGCTATGTAAAGGAAGTCAAGGTTGTTTCCTCCTACAATCACTTTGTAGATGGTTTAGACTTGTTTAGATGGTGCTCTGTCTCCCTTTATCCAAACTAAAACTTTGATGGGTTTTTTTATCTTCACTAAACATTTTTTTGCTTTGTGTTTATTATTGTGCTACTGCAAGTATTTCATATATTAGTCAGTTGATTGTTACTGTAGGGCAGCTCTAGGACAATCCCTGATGTGATGTAGCTTGCTTTTATCCAGCAGATACGACATCTCATGAGGAGGTTCGAACCCTGTACCCTGACCTTCCCACTGACGCACAAAGTCTGGACATCCAGAAGCAGGCCCTTCTACGTGAACAACAGCACAACAGTTTCTATTTCTTTTAATATTAGAAGTCAGTTATTCATTAATGAATACAAATGGTGACTGAAGTTATTTAGACAGGACATTAAACAATAAACTTCCAATAAATTATGAACAATGTGTGACTGAATGTGTTCAGTGAAAGACTTTGAAAATATCGCAGCATAAAACCAGTGTAAAAGTACTCAGACTACTTTTGGGGGTATTTATTTGATGATGCAACCAGAAAATGTGCAGGTTGTGAGTTTAACATTTTCAACACTGGAGAAGAAGTACATGTACACAGACTAGCTAATGACAAACATATTTTTTAAATGAACCTTTATTTAAACAGGTTGTTCATTTTTCTGAGCTTACCTGGTGTCTAGTTTCGGTGGCAGTAGCATAAGCAGAGAAGACCCAGACCTTACTCTCCCGAGCCAGCTCCTCCATTATTTGGGGGACACTGAGGCATTCTCTGCTGAGTGCTGTGATCTCCCCAACATGTCCTGGGTGTGTCCTGTCTGTCCTGGTGGGACATGCCTGGAACATCTCACCCAGGAGGCGCTCAAGAGGCACCCTTGTCAGATGCCTGAACCTCCTCAACTGGCTCGTTTAGATGTAGAGGAGTAGCAGTTAACTCGGAATGAGACAGACAGCACCTACTGCTGGGGTGGGCCTACAGGAGGAGAGCTCATGTCGTCTCTTCAGGACACATCACTGGACCCCAAGAAGCTCTCCCTGAGCTCCCTTTGGATGCTGGGGTCGGCATACGTTCAACTTTAAAATCACTCTGGTTCTTGGCTAGCTTTGTGTTAGCATCCTTTTGTACTGATGCTTGCAAGAAGCTAAAGTTGCTTTGGCAGAATTTTCTTTCTCATATATGCACACATAAGGAGAGAGATGTTTTATAAGCTTTAGTCATCACCGTGCACTTTTCCTGATTCACACAAAATACAGCAATCTGGCACCTTCCCACAGGGTCTTGCACGAGTATTAAACATGTTCATTTGTGCTTTGGACTGTCACCAGATTTCTTCTAGAAGTTTCTTGCCAGTCAGCAACTATCTTGGCAACATCACTTGAGTTTGTGTGTTGCATGCTAACACCATTATCATATGTGTAATAATACTAAAGCTTCATCTTATGCACACACAAAAAACAAATATGGCTCCTTCGTGCAGGGTTTTCTGGTATGTTCATTTATGCTTCCAATTTAAAAAAAGAAAAAAAAAAGAAAAAGCAAACTTCTTGCTTCTCAGCCACTGCGGCCACATCCTCACTGTTTTAGACAGTTATATAAACATACTGTGAGTGAGTCATAAGCTTAAATACAATAGTTGAAGGAACAAAAACTTAATGTTTAAAATACCAGTCAATCTGATTAAAGTAAATAAATAATAAGTATACAATGTAGTTTTAAGACTTATCTCAATGTTTCGTAACATTAATGTTCTATGAACTCGTGAGTCCAGAAATCTGAATGTCATGAAAAGTATTTATTATTCGTGTATTATTATTTTACAATACAAGGTTGTTTTTCTCCTGATACTTCATGCAAACCACATTTCTCCAGGCCGGTCCTAATCAGCTTACTCAGTATCACTAGATCCAATGCTGCTCCTCCAGCACAGCACACAAAAGTAGGAGAGACCGGAGATGCCATGGCTTAGTTAGGAGACTGTTTGCTTCAAGGCCACTAGAAGGTGCTGCCATAAAACTACAATAAATGAATTGACCTTTTGACCTGCTCACACTCTTTTATGCGAAACCCTGCTGATGTTACACACACACACACACACATAAAGAGATTCTAGGTCTGACCAACCGTCTCCGCGGTGGGCAAAAAGATGACAGTCATAAAATTCTAAAATTTTATTTATAAACACAATGAATAATAGTTAAAAGTCCAGTGTCCCATTTAGGTACAAAGTAAAAACACACAGTCCAAGGCCAGAGCCAGCTATGCCACAAAGCCAGTTGCACTCCACACGTTGTTCACTTCAACAGGGGTAGCAATTGTCCTCTGAGACCACCACCCTGTAAGTAGAAAGCCAGTGATCACTCCATCCTCTGCAACTCAGCTGCTTCAGGCTACAGCATATAATAGGCCCTAGCCTGCACAGAGCGACAAAATAAGACAATTCACTAATAATTCACAGCCCATCCATCCCAAACATATCAGATCATTAGAGGTTTTGTCACATTACATACCTGCACTGAGAGACAAAATAAGACTAATGACGCTAAATTTAATTACGGGTCATGGACAGCCTTCATAAATGCTCATATTACTCACCCACACTGAATTCCAGCACAGGTTCATCTGGGTCCTGACTATTTCCTGCAAAATAACACAAACGTCATCAGAACATTAAGTCAGAGAAACAACATTTGGAGCTTTTGTACATGATAAATTATACTGCAGTAGTAAAACAAAGTCAAGCAGCAGTACATTTATTAAAATCTCCTTCAGCTGTAATATTTAAAACTGATTTAGTGTCAATTAGATTATGTTTAGATTAAAATGAAACTAGTACCCTTGTAATGTCTTTTTAAATTAGAGGTAATATTTTGTATATTTTTTTACATAATATAATTATATTTACTGGATTTTCTCTCTATTGTAGTTTAATATTAAGTATTACTTGTTTTTATTGACTTGTCTTGTTTTTACAATGATTTGCTTGACTGCAGCCTTAAAGAAAGACATCTGTTCAGTAACTATCCATCAGACTGGGTCCATGTTACCAGCCAAATGGGTAATAATTAAAGTAAGTTTTGAATTACGATATTTGGGTTTAGGTGACACTTTTGCAAAAAAAATTATATAATTAGGTTTAAAAAACTAAAACATGTATGTATTAAAAACAATAAGTGTGTTAGAATTACTACAGCAACAGGTTGTAGCACTGTATTTGAGCACAACTTTGGTGCTTTTGCCTCATTTTTAAATCAGTGATCCCAGTAGCACAGTCTAAGCAGAGACCTCAGTGCTTGCAAACAATCAATAGAATCAATATAATTATTAAAAGAAACAAAATAAATGCCAACCATATAAAAATAAACTTTAAACTTGATTTTATGTCTTTAGGCTATTGTTAACAGCAAGCATGAGGTTAGTGCATATGTATTATTATTGCAAAGAAAAAAAGTTGAACCAGGAGGGGCGATATCTTACAATGAGTTACATGCAGGCTATTACTTACCGTGTCACTCACATTTATTTCACAAATTAGCTGAACCCACTTAATTCGATTTAATTGTATTTATGCAGAGCTGAATCACAACAACATTCTCCTCGAGGTGGTATAGATTGTAAGGTAGAAAGTCTACAATTAAAAGAAAAAACCTCAATACAGTGGGAAGGAACAACTCACTTTTAACAGGAAGCACCCTCTGGCAGAACCACGGTCAGGGAGCAAACTATCAAACTACGAGGTCTTTAAAATAAGGGTTCCACAGTGTCACAGTTTTCTGCATATAGTCGATAAATGTTGAGAAAACAACTAATCGATTCAAATTTTTTATTTTGAACAAATACATAAATGAAACTGACTGCTTTATATAGGTTTGTATTTGCTCGTGCATTAAAAGCGTTTACAACATGTTTATTCACCCAAACATTATTACAAGCACCTTTCTACAATTAAGCTAAACATGCATAAAATGTTAGCAGTGGAGATTTGGCACCTGAAAGGACCCCTTTGATCCACTCCTAGTTTGAGTCTATTTACATTTAAATTTTTCTTTTTGAGCTCCATACCAGATTAATCACAGAAGGCAAAAACACTGAAACTACGTTTTAAGCTGCGAGCCAAACAAACCAAAGGTAACCGTGTTTTGAAAAGAGCTATGAAGAGAAACAGACAGACTACTGTAATTTCTCAATAAAATGTCGCTTATTATCGCTCACTCTCAAGAACAAAAACGTGAGTAATTTCCAGTAGCTCACCATATTTGGGATCTTCTAACATCCACACTTCATGTTTAAACGGTGGTGCGGAGGCGGTGTACCGTCGCAGGACGGATGTAGCATTCAGCGCGGTGTGCCTTTTTTTCAGTTGCTAAGCAACAGATTTGTCCCGCCCCTTTCGTTATGACGAGCCGGGCCAGTCCTTTGACTGGTGACGTTACAAAGAAACCGACCTTATATATAGACCTGGCTGTTCAGTTGAAACGCATTCATACAGCGGGACAGCAGCGCTTTAAACGTTCAAACACGGAGTTTAACACAAAACAACATTTTAGCATAAAAAACAAAAAAGTGAAATGGCAAGCTCAAACTGTAACACAATGACAAATGATGAAACAGTTCAGACCAATCGGGATAATTCTACAGTACATGCTTTAGTATCCCTCTTGAATAACTTGTTCAGTGATTTTTCGTACAAGCAGTGGAAGAGCTTACCTCAGGCTATCCGGATTGCTCACCGCTAAGCGGCTTGCAGGTTTTGTAGAGGACGTAATGGACCTGTGTGAACAGTCAGGAGCAGTATCACCACTGAGGTCTTCCCAGAACTCCCCTGTACATCAAAACTGTTCTGTCCACACCACCACTGGCAAAACGTTTTTGTCACCTGTGAAATTTTTGGACGATTCTGCTGAGCAGGAGTTTGATACAGCACAGAATATAGATGCTAACAGCCAAGAAACAGCTAACACAGAAGAACGCTGTCAAAATGCTGACCAACACAGTGCTGCAAAAGCAGAAAACAATCCAATTCCAGATCCCCAGCAGCAGAAATCCTGTGTTGAACATGAAGCCAGCATCCCACCGTTAACAAACATAAGTCAAACGGAGTCATAAAAAAGATACAGAATCACAGATCTTCTGTAGACTGTGAGCCACCTGAAAACACTTGTTAGAGACATTAATTCAGGCTGTGCTTTCAAAGCTTGGTAAACTTTTAAAGTGCCCTCATTCTCACCAAAAACGTTTGTTGGATCTACTCTTGGACAAATTCAAGATGGATTTGCATTTAGACCGAAAAGTGCAGAATTATTTTGACTGCATTGCTAATGCCATTTTCACTGATATTTGTGACAAATTACATAAATTGTCACTAATATCATTGGGGAGGAGTGGGGAGGAGGATTCAATGAATTTAATGGGACAACCAATATTTAATATCATAACTACTTCAGTATTCCAAGAACACCTGTTGGCAGTAACAATTATCGATAGACTGGAATCATATGAAAAGAAAGAAAGATGCAGACTTTCAGTGGAAAGCTTTGTGGAAGGACTGATTTCCCAGGTTGCAAAAAAATCAGGCACAGTCTTCAGCATTGAAATGCTGAAGCTATCTCCAACCGGCTTACCATGAAAATCTGGACTGAAATCAGGGCAGAATACGACAAAATCCCCCAGAGAAGTTCAAGAAACTCAGCGAGAGGGTTTTCAAATCCCTCTGTAAAAGATGGAAGCATGCAGCGGTTATTGTGACATTCTGGCAATTAAACGTCCAAGATCTTGATGAAGATATTGTTAAAACTTTCAAAAGAAAGATATTCACAGAACCAAGTTGCATATCTAAGTGCTTCTCATCGGTGCGTGCATTTTTTGGGAGGTTTAAGGGAGGAAACAAAGTTTCCCTTTATAGTGACATCGTGATATCAACAGCAAGATATTTTCTAAAACTCACTGGACACTTTAAATTAGCTAGTTTTACATTTAGATCAGATCAAGTCATTTTTGAAATCCCCAGGAATGGTCGCGGCAGATGGCCACCCCGCCCTGAGCCTGGTTCTGTCGAAGGTTTCTTCCTCTTAAAAGGGAGTTTTTCCTTCCCACTGTCGCCTCGTGCTTGCTCAGAGGGGTTTGTTCTTTTGGGGTTTTCTTTTTAATACTGTAAGTTGTTACCTTACAGTGTGAAGCACCTTGAAAACACCATTGTTTCCTTTGGTGCTATACAGATTGAAGTGACTTGCACTGACAACATAACTAAGCTGGGACTTTAATTTAACATCAATAAAATTATAAAAATATTACATCTTGATTTCTGCTTGTTTTCATTGTCTGTGACTTAATGAATACAAATGTGTAATTTAACAGATTTTTTCTTTATGTTAGTCTGACCGGTGATTCCACGTTGGCCTTAGGTGTTGGCGCGGATACGCTGCAGCCCCTGAGCCATTAATGGCCCAGCACACTACAGTAAAAACAAAACAACAGCCATCTCTCCAACTAGGAAAGGAAAATAATAAACTGCCTCCTTGGAGGCAACCTGACTCAAAACAGTTGCAGTCCAACTCAGACCGACTGCAATCACTCTCAGGCAGATTGATGAAGATCTGCAAATAACTGTTGTCTAATTTATAAACGCAGACAGATTGCCAACACGTCTGTTTACAATAGAGGACTGTACTTACATGGTTGCAAACTGGTTGTTGTCTTGCTTATATGAAAACATTGCTTTGGAGCAATGAAACTCAAACACATTCATTTTTAAAATGCCTCAAAATGAAATTTTGAAATATTTGGCTTTATGCTTTGAAAGTGCCGTTGTGAGTGGGAGTGTGAAATCCTTACTTGATGTGTTCCCTTTGCCTTTACTGTTTTCAGTTTTATTTGTCATATGCAAGTTAGCACAGGGTCAACATTGCAATGAAATGTGTTTGACGAGCAGCAGTCACTCAGCAGCATGGTACAGTAGAAATATAATAAAATATAATAAAATAAAAAATAGAAAAATAGTAAAGAGCAAAATATTAGAGAGACGTGGTAAAAGAGAAAAGATGACTAAATATATATGTATCTATAATATAAATATATGTACACTAGTGATTAAATAAGAAAATCTTGAAAAGAAATATGACGGAGGCCAAATGGGATGTTGCACAGGAATGAGCAGCAAAAATTACAGTATTACTCAGACTTTTAATAGTCATATTGTCAGTTTTGGCCGACGGTCATGGGTCACTTCCACTAAAATAGCACGAGACTGGAGTAAAATGTACTTTATTAATGAGAACACATGGTGATACAGCAAAGAATCCAACCCTTCTGAAAAGCAAATGGCTTCCTGTTATACTCTACCTGATTCAGGTGAGCATCTGGAATAGACCAAGTCTGGGGGTCAGTAAACCAAAGGAAAACAAAACCCTCCCCATAAGAAAACCACTACAATATAACCAAGATATAGCACATCATAGACATATGAAGATTTGGAACAAGTCCTATAAATAATTCCATAACATATAAACTTCAGTCTCTTCTATATACATTAAAACACGGTCCCCAACCTTTTTTTGCGCCACGGACCGTTTATGCCCGACAATATTTTCCATGGACCGGCCTTTAAGGTGTCACAGATAAATACAACAAAATAAAACTAGTACCGGTACCGGAAAAAAAGATTTATTCATAACACACGTGAAAGACCCAGGAAAACAGAGTTAACGATAAAAACGATAACAAAATAACGATAAAAACTCTGAAAACCATTTATTTAAAATGACTGGTTCCCAGTGTTTCGTGCCTGTTTTCAAAACAGTCAAAACAAACAGCTCTTGATTACTGTTATGAATGAGAGGAATGATTACAGCGAGCAAAAAGTGCCTCGCCATCGAAACCAATTCATGAAGGGTAATGCTATTAGAACACACTGCAATACAAGATGAACTAAATCGTGATTCCCTCCAGAACCGTATTTTTCCCCTTAAGCTGTCAGTAAAAAAAAAAAAAAACTATCTGGAGGGCCACCTAAGAGTTTAATGTGCAGGAAAAACATTGGTCTTAATGTCATGAAAACCTCTGGAAAGTTCTCTCAACCCCAAAACCTGTGTTAGGTATGCAGAAATGCTCCTGGTTACACAAACTGGCCAAGACAAACAAATGAGGAAAAGCACATAGGCCTACAGAAGAATCTCAAATGAAAAATGATGTGTGTGAATAGAGAGGTTGATGGGTATAAATAGAGGCGCACACTTACTTGTGCGAGTACACCAGCACTCAGATTTTTACTACTGTATTCCATGCAAGATTAACTTCAAGTTTTCCAAGGAATGTTAACAGAAAAATGTTAGAGAGCGGTCAGAAAATTAACCGTATCAACATCGACATCTATGGGAGGTGAACATGCTGGTGATAGAAGAACTGCATAAAACAGTGCTCATTCATATTACAGCCTTGTTTGAATAAACTTTCCTTGGGTTGGAGTGCGGGCCAGCTTTCTTTCACTGTGAGCATCCCGTGTGTCATGGTCCCTGTGCCTCCCCGGCCAGCCCAGTGTGGCCACAACTGTTTGTTGTTTTTCTCTCGCTCTGTCTCTCCTACCTGTCTGCCTGGGCGGAGCTCTGATTGGGCTCCTGCCCTTGGCCCACGCACCTGCAGCTGATCGAGTGAATTGCAGTTCTCTGGCTCTTAAGGCTGGGGCTCTGAGCTATTCGTCGCTGGAATATTGAGTAACTCTCGTTAGTATTGCCTGGCTTCCTTGCGATTCTACTGTTCCCGTGTTTGCCTTCAACTTACCCTCGTCTGTGTAAACAGGTTTACCTGGATCAGCCCTTTTGTGACCCCTGGACCCCGTGAGCAGGAGAGTGAGCTGAGCTGCTTGTGTGGAGACTGTTTGGACGAGGAGCAGAGCGAGTGCGAAGAAGTGTGTCTCCCCAGCCTATCGATCCCCGGGACCCTGGTGTTTCCCCCCCCCTTCACGTGTATATAGTGCACCAGTGTGATTAATAAAGTGTCGTTGAACTGTGCTACTTCAGTCTGCGCCTGAGTCCGTTCCACACCCGTGACAATTCATCTGTGCTTGTATTCAAGTTTACAGCAAATCATCTGAGAAATGCCTTTGAACTGTGCCTGTTTCTGGGCTTTTCTTTTGACACAAACTGCTCACAAAGAAGGACGAATGCTTTAGGGAACAAAAGCTTTGGAATGTATTCTGCAAGTACAGGTCAAACGTAATAGCCTCATTGTTTTATAGCAATGCTGAATTAACTTATGTCACTGCAGGACAGTGCAGCCAGTGGGGCTAATTGTTATAGTCACTGTGCACGACAAGAAAGCATTTGACATGGTGAACTGCTGCCACGGTTTTAGAGAGACGTCTGTTTGTAATTAGAAGTAGTTGTTCTGTTTAATTTGGGTTTTTCTCCTTTGCTTCTGCGTAGAAGACGACCAATCTGCACATCGAGAAGCTGTCCTGTCTTCAGCTAGGAGTCCTTCTCCAGCTGCTGCACATGCTAACAGGCAAAACATCAGGGAGTAATACAAGCTTTTAATGCTTATGTGAACCACAGGCGTGCTTATAATGTATCAACCTGCAGTGAGACTGTAAAAGCAAAATCTTTCTTGATTTAATTTTCAGTGCACAAATAATAACAGATTCAGGAATGTATTCAAGGAAGAGACTGGCAAAGAAAGAGTGGGATAGTCAGGGAGCTGAAGGAAGGAGTACTAAAAGGCTAGGTGCACAGCAAAGAGAGAGGTGTCACTGGCACAGGAAAAGGCTTGTAGTGAGTTGTATGTGAGGCTGGACACTAAGGAGAAAATGATTTTTAATGAATGGCAAGGCACATAAATTGTCCTGGAAGAGAGTAACCAAGTATAGAGATGGAAATGTGCTAATGTGAAGAATGTGTGTTGAGAAGAGAGAAGGAGTACTTTGGATGAAAATTGAATTAGAGAAGGAAGCGAGGCAACTCTGAAGAGGATGGAGACGGGAGGCATAGAGAGGGTAGGAGTGAAGGCTATGATAAGGTGCGAAGAGAGTAACTGTGGTGCTGGATTTGTGGATGTAGTGAAGGTGGACATGCAGGGGGTTGGTGTGACTGAGGAGGATGCTAGAAATAGAGAGATGGAGGCGGATGATCCACTGTAGCGACCTCTAAAGGGAGCAGCCGAAAGAAGAAGAAGCACAAATAATTCTAATCATGCTTTTCTTTATTCTCAGTACTAAGCTATGTAAAGGAAGTCAAGGTTGTTTCCTCCTATAATCACTTTGTAGATGGTTTAGACTTGTTTAGATTGGTGCTCTGTCTCCCTTTATCCAAACTAAAACTTTGATGGGTTTTTTTATCTTCACTAAACATTTTTTTGCTTTGTGTTTATTATTGTGCTACTGCAAGTATTTCATATATTAGTCAGTTGATTGTTACTGTAGGGCAGCTCTAGGACAATCCCTGATGTGATGTAGCTTGCTTTTATCCAGCAGATACGACATCTCATGAGGAGGTTCGAACCCTGTACCCTGACCTTCCCACTGACGCACAAAGTCTGGACATCCAGAAGCAGGCCCTTCTACGTGAACAACAGCACAACAGTTTCTATTTCTTTTAATATTAGAAGTCAGTTATTCATTAATGAATACAAATGGTGACTGAAGTTATTTAGACAGGACATTAAACAATAAACTTCCAATAAATTATGAACAATGTGTGACTGAATGTGTTCAGTGAAAGACTTTGAAAATATCGCAGCATAAAACCAGTGTAAAAGTACTCAGACTACTTTTGGGGGTATTTATTTGATGATGCAACCAGAAAATGTGCAGGTTGTGAGTTTAACATTTTCAACACTGGAGAAGAAGTACATGTACACAGACTAGCTAATGACAAACATTTTTTTTTAAATTAACCTTTATTTAAACAGGTTGTTCATTTTTCTGAGCTTACCTGGTGTCTAGTTTCGGTGGCAGTAGCATAAGCAGAGAAGACCCAGACCTTACTCTCCCGAGCCAGCTCCTCCATTATTTGGGGGACACTGAGGCATTCTCTGCTGAGTGCTGTGATCTCCCCAACATGTCCTGGGTGTGTCCTGTCTGTCCTGGTGGGACATGCCTGGAACATCTCACCCAGGAGGCGCTCAAGAGGCACCCTTGTCAGATGCCTGAACCTCCTCAACTGGCTCGTTTAGATGTAGAGGAGTAGCAGTTAACTCGGAATGAGACAGACAGCACCTACTGCTGGGGTGGGCCTACAGGAGGGAGAGCTCATGTCGTCTCTTCAGGACACATCACTGGACCCCAAGAAGCTCTCCCCTGAGCTCCCTTTGGATGCTGGGTCGGCATACGTTCAACTTTAAAATCACTCTTGGTTCTTGGCTAGCTTTGTGTTAGCATCCTTTGTGTACTGATGCTTGCAAGAAGCTAAAGTTGCTTTGGCAGAATTTTCTTTCTCATATATGCACACATAAGGAGAGAGATGTTTTATAAGCTTTAGTCATCACCGTGCACTTTTCCTGATTCACACAAAATACAGCAATCTGGCACCTTCCCACAGGGTCTTGCACGAGTATTAAACATGTTCATTTGTGCTTTGGACTGTCACCAGATTTCTTCTAGAAGTTTCTTGCCAGTCAGCAACTATCTTGGCAACACCACTTGAGTTTGTGTGTTGCATGCTAACACCATTATCATATGTGTAATAATACTAAAGCTTCATCTTATGCACACACAAAAAACAAATATGGCTCCTTCGTGCAGGGTTTTCTGGTATGTTCATTTATGCTTCCCAATTTAAAAAAAAGAAAAAAAAAAGAAAAAGCAAACTTCTTGCTTCTCAGCCACTGCGGCCACATCCTCACTGTTTTTTAGACAGTTATATAAACATACTGTGAGTGAGTCATAAGCTTAAATACAATAGTTGAAGGAACAAAAACTTAATGTTTAAAAATACCAGTCAAATCTGATTAAAGTAAATAAATAATAAGTATACAATGTAGTTTTAAGACTTATCTCAATGTTTCGTAACATTAATGTTCTATGAACTCGTGAGTCCAGAAATCTGAATGTCATGAAAAGTATTTATTATTCGTGTATTATTATTTTACAATACAAGGTTGTTTTTCTCCTGATACTTCATGCAAACCACATTTCTCCAGGCCGGTCCTAATCAGCTTACTCAGTATCACTAGATCCAATGCTGCTCCTCCAGCACAGCACACAAAAGTAGGAGAGACCGGAGATGCCATGGCTTAGTTAGGAGACTGTTTGCTTCAAGGCCACTAGAAGGTGCTGCCATAAAACTACAATAAATGAATTGACCTTTTGACCTGCTCACACTCTTTTATGCGAAACCCTGCTGATGTTACACACACACACACACATAAAGAGATTCTAGGTCTGACCAACCGTCTCCGCGGTGGGCAAAAAGATGACAGTCAATAAAATTCTAAAATTTTATTTATAAACACAATGAATAATAGTTAAAAGTCCAGTGTCCCATTTAGGTACAAAGTAAAAACACACAGTCCAAGGCCAGAGCCAGCTATGCCACAAAGCCAGTTGCACTCCACACGTTGTTCACTTCAACAGGGGTAGCAATTGTCCTCTGAGACCCACCACCCTGTAAGTAGAAAGCCAGTGATCACTCCATCCTCTGCAACTCAGCTGCCTTCAGGCTACAGCATATAATAGGCCCTAGCCTGCACAGAGCGACAAAATAAGACAATTCACTATATAATTCACAGCCCATCCATCCCAAACATATCAGATCATTAGAGGTTTTGTCACATTACATACCTGCACTGAGAGACAAAATAAGACTAATGACGCTAAATTTAATTACGGGTCATGGACAGCCTTCATAAATGCTCATATTACTCACCCACACTGAATTCCAGCACAGGTTCATCTGGGTCCTGACTATTTCCTGCAAAATAACACAAACGTCATCAGAACATTAAGTCAGAGAAACAACATTTGGAGCTTTTGTACATGATAAATTATACTGCAGTAGTAAAACAAAGTCAAGCAGCAGTACATTTATTAAAATCACCTTCAGCTGTAATATTTAAACTGATTTAGTGTCAATTTAGATTATGTTTAGATTAAAATGAAACTAGTACCCTTGTAATGTCTTTTTAAATTAGAGGTAAATATTTGTATATTTTTTTACATAATATAATTATATTTACTGGATTTTCTCTCTATTGTAGTTTAATATTATAGTTATTACTTGTTTTTTATTGACTTGTCTTGTTTTTACAATGATTTGCTTTGACTGCAGCCTTTAAAGAAAAGACTATCTGTTCAGTAACTATCCATCAGACTGGGTCCATGTTACCAGCCAAATGGGTAATAATTAAAGTAAGTTTTGAATTACGTATATTTGGGTGTTTAGGTGACACTTTTGCAAAAAAAATTATATAATTAGGTTTAAAAAAACTAAACATGTATGTATTTAAAAACAATAAGTGTGTTAGAATTACTACAGCAACAGGTTGTAGCTCACTGTACTGTTTTTGAGCACAACTTTGGTGCTTTTGCCTCATTTTTAAATCAGTGATCCCAGTAGCACAGTCTAAGCAGAGACCTCAGTGCTTGGCAAACAATCAATAGAATCAATATAATTATTAAAAAGAAACAAAATAAATGCCAACCATATAAAAAACATAAACTTAAAGAAAAAACTAAACTTGATTTTATGTCTTTAGGCTATTGTTAACAGCAAGCATGAGGTTAGTGCATATGTATTATTATTGGAAAGATTACTGCAAAGAAAAAAAAGTTGAACCAGGAGGGGGCGATATTGCTCTTCTTACAATGAGTTACATGCAGGCTATTACTTACCGTGTCACTCACATTTATTTCACAAATTAGCTGAACCCACTTAATTCGATTTAATTGTATTTATGCAGAGCTGAATCACAACAACATTCTCCTCGAGGTGGTATAGACTGTAAGGTAGAAAGTCTACAATTAAAAAGAAAAAACCTCAATACAGTGGGAAGGAACAACTCACTTTTAACAGGAAGCACCCTCTGGCAGAACCACGGTCAGGGAGCAAACTATCAAACTACGAGGTCTTTAAAATAAGGGTTCCACAGTGTCACAGTTTTCTGCATATAGTCGATTAATAAATGTTGAGAAAACAACTAATCGATTCAAATTTTTTATTTGAACAAGTATCAAATTGATTTTCACAGAAGCGTTCAATGGAACAAATACATAAATGGTAAACTGACTGCTTTTTATATAGGGTTTTTGTATTTTGCTCGTGCATTAAAAAGCGCTTTATACAACATGCCTCATTCACCTATTCACCCAAACATTATTACAAGCACCTTTTCTACAATTAAGCTAAACATGCATAAAATGTTAGCAGTGGAGATTTGGCACCTGAAAGGACCCCCTTTGATCCACTCCTAGTTTGAGTCTATTTACATTTAAATACTGATACTTCAATTTTGCCTTGGTTTGAGCTCCATAAAGCAGGCAAACCAGAATTAATCACAGAAGGCGAAAAACACTGAAACTACGTTTTAAGCTGCGAGCCAAACAAACCAAAGGTAACCGTGTTTTGAAAAGAGCTATGAAGAGAAACAGACAGACTACTGTAATTTCTCAATAAAATGTCGCTTATTATCGCTCACTCTCAAGAACAAAAACGTGAGTAATTTTCCAGTAGCTCACCATATTTGGGATCTTCTAACATCCACACTTCATGTTTAAACGGTGGTGCGGAGGCGGTGTACCGTCGCAGGACGGATGTAGCATTCAGCGCGGTGTGCCTTTTTTTCAGTTGCTAAGCAACAGATTTGTCCCGCCCCTTTCGTTATGACGAGCCGGGCCAGTCCTTTGACTGGTGACGTTACAAAGAAACCGACCTTATATATAGACCTGGCTGTTCAGTTGAAACGCATTCATACAGCGGGACAGCAGCGCTTTAAACGTTCAAACACGGAGTTTAACACAAAACAACATTTTAGGCATAAAAAACAAAAAAGTGAAATGGCAAGCTCAAACTGTAACACAATGACAAATGATGAAACAGTTCAGACCAATCGGGATAATTCTACAGTACATGCTTTAGTATCCCTCTTGAATAACTTGTTCAGTGATTTTTCGTACAAGCAGTGGGAAGAGCTTACCTCAGGCTATCCGGATTGCTCCACCGCTAAGCGGCTTGCAGGTTTTGTAGAGGACGTAATGGACCTGTGTGAACAGTCAGGAGCAGTATCACCACTGAGGTCTTCCCAGAACTCCCCTGTACATCAAAACTGTTCTGTCCACACCACCACTGGCAAAACGTTTTTGTCACCTGTGAAATTTTTGGACGATTCTGCTGAGCAGGAGTTTGATACAGCACAGAATATAGATGCTAACAGCCAAGAAACAGCTAACACAGAAGAACGCTGTCAAAATGCTGACCAACACAGTGCTGCAAAAGCAGAAAACAATCCAATTCCAGATCCCCAGCAGCAGAAATCCTGTGTTGAACATGAAGCCAGCATCCCACCGTTAACAAACATAAGTCAAACGGAGTCATATAAAAAGATACAGAATCACAGATCTTCTGTAGACTGTGAGCCACCTGAAAACACCTTGTTAGAGACATTAATTCAGGCTGTGCTTTCAAAGCTTGGTAAACTTTTAAAGTGCCCTCATTCTCACCAAAAACGTTTGTTGGATCTACTCTTGGACAAATTCAAGTGGATGGATTTGCATTTAGACCGAAAAGTGCAGAATTATTTTGACTGCATTGCTAATGCCATTTTCACTGATATTTGTGACAAATTACATAAATTGTCACTAATATCATTGGGGAGGAGTGGGGAGGAGGATTCAATGAATTTAATGGGACAACCAATATTTAATATCATAACTACTTCAGTATTCCAAGAACACCTGTTGGCAGTAACAATTATCGATAGACTGGAATCATATGAAAAGAAAGAAAGATGCAGACTTTCAGTGGAAAGCTTTGTGGAAGGACTGATTTCCCAGGTTGCAAAAAAATCAGGCACAGTCTTCAGCATTGAAAATGCTGAAGCTATCTCCAACCGGCTTACCATGAAAATCTGGACTGAAATCAGGGAAGAATACGACAAAATCCCCCAGAGAAGTTCAAGAAACTCAGCGAGAGGGTTTTCAAATCCCTCTGTAAAAGATGGAAGCATGCAGCGGTTATTGTGACATTCTGGCAATTAAACGTCCAAGATCTTGATGAAGATATTGTTAAAACTTTCAAAAGAAAGCTATTCACAGAACCAAGTTGCATATCTAAGTGCTTCTCATCGGTGCGTGCATTTTTTGGGAGGTTTAAGGGAGGAAACAAAGTTTCCCCTTTATAGTGACATCGTGATATCAACAGCAAGATATTTTCTAAAACTCACTGGACACTTTAAATTAGCTAGTTTTACATTTAGATCAGATCAAGTCATTTTTGAAATCCCCAGGAATGGTCGCGGCAGATGGCCACCCCGCCCTGAGCCTGGTTCTGTCGAAGGTTTCTTCCTCTTAAAAGGGAGTTTTTCCTTCCCACTGTCGCCTCGTGCTTGCTCAGAGGGGTTTGTTCTTTTGGGGTTTTCTTTTTAATACTGTAAGTTGTTACCTTACAGTGTGAAGCACCTTGAAAACACCATTGTTTCCTTTGGTGCTATACAGATTGAAGTGACTTGCACTGACAACATAACTAAGCTGGGACTTTAATTTAACATCAATAAAATTATAAAAATATTACATCTTGATTTCTGCTTGTTTTCATTGTCTGTGACTTAATGAATACAAATGTGTAATTTAACAGATTTTTTCTTTATGTTAGTCTGACCGGTGATTCCACGTTGGCCTTAGGTGTTGGCGCGGATACGCTGCAGCCCCTGAGCCATTAATGGCCCAGCACACTACAGTAAAAACAAAACAACAGCCATCTCTCCAACTAGGAAAGGAAAATAATAAACTGCCTCCTTGGAGGCAACCTGACTCAAAACAGTTGCAGTCCAACTCAGACCGACTGCAATCACTCTCAGGCAGATTGATGAAGATCTGCAAATAACTGTTGTCTAATTTATAAACGCAGACAGATTGCCAACACGTCTGTTTACAATAGAGGACTGTACTTACATGGTTGCAAACTGGTTGTTGTCTTGCTTATATGAAAACATTGCTTTGGAGCAATGAAACTCAAACACATTCATTTTTAAAATGCCTCAAAATGAAATTTTGAAATATTTGGCTTTATGCTTTGAAAGTGCCGTTGTGAGTGGGAGTGTGAAATCCTTACTTGATGTGTTCCCTTTGCCTTTACTGTTTTCAGTTTTATTTGTCATATGCAAGTTAGCACAGGGTCAACATTGCAATGAAATGTGTTTGACGAGCAGCAGTCACTCAGCAGCATGGTACAGTAGAAATATAATAAAATATAATAAAATAAAAAATAGAAAAATAGTAAAGAGCAAAATATTAGAGAGACGTGGTAAAAGAGAAAAGATGACTAAATATATATGTATCTATAAATATAAATATATGTACACTAGTGATTAAATAAGAAAATCTTGAAAAGAAATATGACGGGAGGCCAAATGGGATGTTGCACAGGAATGAGCAGCAGAAAATTACAGTATTACTCAGACTTTTAATAGTCATATTGTCAGTTTTGGCCGACGGTCATGGGTCACTTCCACTAAAATAGCACGAGACTGGAGTAAAATGTACTTTATTAATGAGAACACATGGTGATACAGCAAAGAATCCAACCCTTCTGAAAAGCAAATGGCTTCCTGTTATACTCTACCTGATTCAGGTGAGCATCTGGAATAGACCAAGTCTGGGGGTCAGTAAACCAAAGGAAAACAAAACCCTCCCCATAAGAAAACCACTACAATATAACCAAGATATAGCACATCATAGACATATGAAGATTTGGAACAAGTCCTATAAATAATTCCATAACATATAAACTTCAGTCTCTTCTATATACATTAAAACAGCGGTCCCCAACCTTTTTTGCGCCACGGACCGGTTTATGCCCGACAATATTTTCATGGACCGGCCTTTAAGGTGTCACAGATAAATACAACAAAATAAAACTAGTACCGGTACCGGAAAAAAAGAAGATTTATTCATAACACACGTGAAAGACCCAGGAAAACAGAGTTAACGATAAAAACGATAACAAAATAACGATAAAAACTCTGAAAACCATTTATTTAAAATGACTGGTTCCCAGTGTTTCGTGCCTGTTTTCAAACAGTCAAAACAAACAGCTCTTGATTACTGTTATGAATGAGAGGAATGATTACAGCGAGCAAAAAGTGCCTCGCCATCGAAACCAATTCATGAAGGGTAATGCTATTAGAACACACTGCAATACAAAGATGAACTAAATCGTGATTCCCTCCAGAACCGTATTTTTCCCCTTAAGCTGGTCAGTAAAAAAAAAAAAAACTATCTGGAGGGCCACCTAAGAGTTTAATGTGCAGGAAAAACATTGGTCTTAATGTCATGAAAAACCTCTGGAAAGTTCTCTCAACCCCAAAACCTGTGTTAGGTATGCAGAAATGCTCCTGGTTACACAAACTGGCCAAGACAAACAAATGAGGAAAAGCACATACAGAAGAATCTCAAATGAAAAATGATGTGTGTGAATAGAGAGGTTGATGGGTATAAATAGAGGCGCACACTTACTTGTGCGAGTACACCAGCACTCAGATTTTTACTACTGTATTCCATGCAAGATTAACTTCAAGGTTTTCCAAGGAATGTTAACAGAAAAATGTTAGAGAGCGGTCAGAAAATTAACCGTATCAACATCGACATCTATGGAGGTGAACATGCTGGTGATAGAAGAACTGCATAAAACAGTGCTCATTCATATTACAGCCTTGTTTGAATAAACTTTCCTTGGGTTGGAGTGCGGGCCAGCTTTCTTTCACTGTGAGCATCCCGTGTGTCATGGTCCCTGTGCCTCCCCGGCCAGCCCAGTGTGGCCACAACTGTTTGTTGTTTTTCTCTCGCTCTGTCTCTCCTACCTGTCTGCCTGGGCGGAGCTCTGATTGGGCTCCTGCCCTTGGCCCACGCACCTGCAGCTGATCGAGTGAATTGCAGTTCTCTGGCTCTTAAGGCTGGGGCTCTGAGCTATTCGTCGCTGGAATATTGAGTAACTCTCGTTAGTATTGCCTGGCTTCCTTGCGATTCTACTGTTCCCGTGTTTGCCTTCAACTTACCCTCGTCTGTGTAAACAGGTTTACCTGGATCAGCCCTTTTGTGACCCCTGGACCCCGTGAGCAGGAGAGTGAGCTGAGCTGCTTGTGTGGAGACTGTTTGGACGAGGAGCAGAGCGAGTGCGAAGAAGTGTGTCTCCCCAGCCTATCGATCCCCGGGACCCTGGTGTTTCCCCCCCCCCCCCCTTCACGTGTATATAGTGCACCAGTGTGATTAATAAAGTGTCGTTGAACTGTGCTACTTCAGTCTGCGCCTGAGTCCGTTCCACACCCGTGACAATTCATCTGTGCTTGTATTCAAGTTTACAGCAAATCATCTGAGAAATGCCTTTGAACTGGTGCCTGTTTCTGGGCTTTTCTTTTGACACAAACTGCTCACAAAGAAGGACGAATGCTTTAGGGAACAAAAGCTTTGGAATGTATTCTGCAAGTACAGGTCAAACGTAATAGCCTCATTGTTTTATAGCAATGCTGAATTAACTTATGTCACTGCAGGACAGTGCAGCCAGTGGGGCTAATTGTTATAGTCACTGTGCACGACAAGAAAGCATTTGACATGGTGAACTGCTGCCACGGTTTTAGAGAGACGTCTGTTTGTAATTAGAAGTAGTTGTTCTGTTTAATTTGGGGTTTTTCTCCTTTGCTTCTGCGTAGAAGACGACCAATCTGCACATCGAGAAGCTGTCCTGTCTTCAGCTAGGAGTCCTTCTCCAGCTGCTGCACATGCTAACAGGCAAAACATCAGGGAGTAATACAAGCTTTTAATGCTTATGTGAACCACAGGCGTGCTTATAATGTATCAACCTGCAGTGAGACTGTAAAAGCAAAATCTTTCTTGATTTAATTTTCAGTGCACAAATAATAACAGATTCAGGAATGTATTCAAGGAAGAGACTGGCAAAGAAAGAGTGGGATAGTCAGGGAGCTGAAGGAAGGAGTACTAAAAGGCTAGGTGCACAGCAAAGAGAGAGGTGTCACTGGCACAGGAAAAGGCTTGTAGTGAGTTGTATGTGAGGCTGGACACTAAGGAGAAAATGATTTTTAATGAATGGCAAGGCACATAAATTGTCCTGGAAGAGAGTAACCAAGTATAGAGATGGAAATGTGCTAATGTGAAGAATGTGTGTTGAGAAGAGAGAAGGAGTACTTTGGATGAAAATTGAATTAGAGAAGGAAGCGAGGCAACTCTGAAGAGGATGGAGACGGGAGGCATAGAGAGGGTAGGAGTGAAGGCTATGATAAGGTGCGAAGAGAGTAACTGTGGTGCTGGATTTGTGGATGTAGTGAAGGTGGACATGCAGGGGGTTGGTGTGACTGAGGAGGATGCTAGAAATAGAGAGATGGAGGCGGATGATCCACTGTAGCGACCTCTAAAGGGAGCAGCCGAAAGAAGAAGAAGCACAAATAATTCTAATCATGCTTTTCTTTTATTCTCAGTACTAAGCTATGTAAAGGAAGTCAAGGTTGTTTCCTCCTACAATCACTTTGTAGATGGTTTAGACTTGTTTAGATTGGTGCTCTGTCTCCCTTTATCCAAACTAAAACTTTGATGGGTTTTTTTTATCTTCACTAAACATTTTTTTGCTTTGTGTTTATTATTGTGCTACTGCAAGTATTTCATATATTAGTCAGTTGATTGTTACTGTAGGGCAGCTCTAGGACAATCCCTGATGTGATGTAGCTTGCTTTTATCCAGCAGATACGACATCTCATGAGGAGGTTCGAACCCTGTACCCTGACCTTCCCACTGACGCACAAAGTCTGGACATCCAGAAGCAGGCCCTTCTACGTGAACAACAGCACAACAGTTTCTATTTCTTTTAATATTAGAAGTCAGTTATTCATTAATGAATACAAATGGTGACTGAAGTTATTTAGACAGGACATTAAACAATAAACTTCCAATAAATTATGAACAATGTGTGACTGAATGTGTTCAGTGAAAGACTTTGAAAATATCGCAGCATAAAACCAGTGTAAAAGTACTCAGACTACTTTTGGGGGTATTTATTTGATGATGCAACCAGAAAATGTGCAGGTTGTGAGTTTAACATTTTCAACACTGGAGAAGAAGTACATGTACACAGACTAGCTAATGACAAACATTTTTTTTTAAATTAACCTTTATTTAAACAGGTTGTTCATTTTTCTGAGCTTACCTGGTGTCTAGTTTCGGTGGCAGTAGCATAAGCAGAGAAGACCCAGACCTTACTCTCCCGAGCCAGCTCCTCCATTATTTGGGGGACACTGAGGCATTCTCTGCTGAGTGCTGTGATCTCCCCAACATGTCCTGGGTGTGTCCTGTCTGTCCTGGTGGGACATGCCTGGAACATCTCACCCAGGAGGCGCTCAAGAGGCACCCTTGTCAGATGCCTGAACCTCCTCAACTGGCTCGTTTAGATGTAGAGGAGTAGCAGTTAACTCGGAATGAGACAGACAGCACCTACTGCTGGGGTGGGCCTACAGGAGGGAGAGCTCATGTCGTCTCTTCAGGACACATCACTGGACCCCAAGAAGCTCTCCCCTGAGCTCCCTTTGGATGCTGGGGTCGGCATACGTTCAACTTTAAAATCACTCTTGGTTCTTGGCTAGCTTTGTGTTAGCATCCTTTGTGTACTGATGCTTGCAAGAAGCTAAAGTTGCTTTGGCAGAATTTTCTTTCTCATATATGCACACATAAGGAGAGAGATGTTTTATAAGCTTTAGTCATCACCGTGCACTTTTCCTGATTCACACAAAATACAGCAATCTGGCACCTTCCCACAGGGTCTTGCACGAGTATTAAACATGTTCATTTGTGCTTTGGACTGTCACCAGATTTCTTCTAGAAGTTTCTTGCCAGTCAGCAACTATCTTGGCAACACCACTTGAGTTTGTGTGTTGCATGCTAACACCATTATCATATGTGTAATAATACTAAAGCTTCATCTTATGCACACACAAAAAACAAATATGGCTCCTTCGTGCAGGGTTTTCTGGTATGTTCATTTATGCTTCCCAATTTAAAAAAAAGAAAAAAAAAAGAAAAAGCAAACTTCTTGCTTCTCAGCCACTGCGGCCACATCCTCACTGTTTTAGACAGTTATATAAACATACTGTGAGTGAGTCATAAGCTTAAATACAATAGTTGAAGGAACAAAAACTTAATGTTTAAAAATACCAGTCAAATCTGATTAAAGTAAATAAATAATAAGTATACAATGTAGTTTTAAGACTTATCTCAATGTTTCGTAACATTAATGTTCTATGAACTCGTGAGTCCAGAAATCTGAATGTCATGAAAAGTATTTATTATTCGTGTATTATTATTTTACAATACAAGGTTGTTTTTCTCCTGATACTTCATGCAAACCACATTTCTCCAGGCCGGTCCTAATCAGCTTACTCAGTATCACTAGATCCAATGCTGCTCCTCCAGCACAGCACACAAAAGTAGGAGAGACCGGAGATGCCATGGCTTAGTTAGGAGACTGTTTGCTTCAAGGCCACTAGAAGGTGCTGCCATAAAACTACAATAAATGAATTGACCTTTTGACCTGCTCACACTCTTTTATGCGAAACCCTGCTGATGTTACACACACACACACACATAAAGAGATTCTAGGTCTGACCAACCGTCTCCGCGGTGGGCAAAAAGATGACAGTCAATAAAATTCTAAAATTTTATTTATAAACACAATGAATAATAGTTAAAAGTCCAGTGTCCCATTTAGGTACAAAGTAAAAACACACAGTCCAAGGCCAGAGCCAGCTATGCCACAAAGCCAGTTGCACTCCACACGTTGTTCACTTCAACAGGGGTAGCAATTGTCCTCTGAGACCCACCACCCTGTAAGTAGAAAGCCAGTGATCACTCCATCCTCTGCAACTCAGCTGCCTTCAGGCTACAGCATATAATAGGCCCTAGCCTGCACAGAGCGACAAAATAAGACAATTCACTATATAATTCACAGCCCATCCATCCCAAACATATCAGATCATTAGAGGTTTTGTCACATTACATACCTGCACTGAGAGACAAAATAAGACTAATGACGCTAAATTTAATTACGGGTCATGGACAGCCTTCATAAATGCTCATATTACTCACCCACACTGAATTCCAGCACAGGTTCATCTGGGTCCTGACTATTTCCTGCAAAATAACACAAACGTCATCAGAACATTAAGTCAGAGAAACAACATTTGGAGCTTTTGTACATGATAAATTATACTGCAGTAGTAAAACAAAGTCAAGCAGCAGTACATTTATTAAAATCACCTTCAGCTGTAATATTTAAACTGATTTAGTGTCAATTTAGATTATGTTTAGATTAAAATGAAACTAGTACCCTTGTAATGTCTTTTTAAATTAGAGGTAAATATTTGTATATTTTTTTACATAATATAATTATATTTACTGGATTTTCTCTCTATTGTAGTTTAGTATTATAGCTATTACTTGTTTTTTATTGACTTGTCTTGTTTTTACAATGATTTGCTTTGACTGCAGCCTTTAAAGAAAAGACTATCTGTTCAGTAACTATCCATCAGACTGGGTCCATGTTACCAGCCAAATGGGTAATAATTAAAGTAAGTTTTGAATTACGTATATTTGGGTGTTTAGGTGACACTTTTGCAAAAAAAAAAATTATATAATTAGGTTTAAAAAAACTAAACATGTATGTATTTAAAAACAATAAGTGTGTTAGAATTACTACAGCAACAGGTTGTAGCTCACTGTACTGTTTTTGAGCACAACTTTGGTGCTTTTGCCTCATTTTTAAATCAGTGATCCCAGTAGCACAGTCTAAGCAGAGACCTCAGTGCTTGGCAAACAATCAATAGAATCAATATAATTATTAAAAAGAAACAAAATAAATGCCAACCATATAAAAAACATAAACTTAAAGAAAAAACTAAACTTGATTTTATGTCTTTAGGCTATTGTTAACAGCAAGCATGAGGTTAGTGCATATGTATTATTATTGGAAAGATTACTGCAAAGAAAAAAAAGTTGAACCAGGAGGGGGCGATATTGCTCTTCTTACAATGAGTTACATGCAGGCTATTACTTACCGTGTCACTCACATTTATTTCACAAATTAGCTGAACCCACTTAATTCGATTTAATTGTATTTATGCAGAGCTGAATCACAACAACATTCTCCTCGAGGTGGTATAGACTGTAAGGTAGAAAGTCTACAATTAAAAAGAAAAAACCTCAATACAGTGGGAAGGAACAACTCACTTTTAACAGGAAGCACCCTCTGGCAGAACCACGGTCAGGGAGCAAACTATCAAACTACGAGGTCTTTAAAATAAGGGTTCCACAGTGTCACAGTTTTCTGCATATAGTCGATTAATAAATGTTGAGAAAACAACTAATCGATTCAAATTTTTTATTTGAACAAGTATCAAATTGATTTTCACAGAAGCGTTCAATGGAACAAATACATAAATGGTAAACTGACTGCTTTTTATATAGGGTTTTTGTATTTTGCTCGTGCATTAAAAAGCGCTTTATACAACATGCCTCATTCACCTATTCACCCAAACATTATTACAAGCACCTTTTCTACAATTAAGCTAAACATGCATAAAATGTTAGCAGTGGAGATTTGGCACCTGAAAGGACCCCTTTGATCCACTCCTAGTTTGAGTCTATTTACATTTAAATACTGATACTTCAATTTTGCCTTGGTTTGAGCTCCATAAAGCAGGCAAACCAGAATTAATCACAGAAGGCGAAAAACACTGAAACTACGTTTTAAGCTGCGAGCCAAACAAACCAAAGGTAACCGTGTTTTGAAAAGAGCTATGAAGAGAAACAGACAGACTACTGTAATTTCTCAATAAAATGTCGCTTATTATCGCTCACTCTCAAGAACAAAAACGTGAGTAATTTTCCAGTAGCTCACCATATTTGGGATCTTCTAACATCCACACTTCATGTTTAACGGTGGTGCGGAGGCGGTGTACCGTCGCAGGACGGATGTAGCATTCAGCGCGGTGTGCCTTTTTTTCAGTTGCTAAGCAACAGATTTGTCCCGCCCCCTTTCGTTATGACGAGCCGGGCCAGTCCTTTGACTGGTGACGTTACAAAGAAACCGACCTTATATATAGACCTGGCTGTTCAGTTGAAACGCATTCATACAGCGGGACAGCAGCGCTTTAAACGTTCAAACACGGAGTTTAACACAAAACAACATTTTAGGCATAAAAACAAAAAAGTGAAATGGCAAGCTCAAACTGTAACACAATGACAAATGATGAAACAGTTCAGACCAATCGGGATAATTCTACAGTACATGCTTTAGTATCCCTCTTGAATAACTTGTTCAGTGATTTTTCGTACAAGCAGTGGGAAGAGCTTACCTCAGGCTATCCGGATTGCTCCACCGCTAAGCGGCTTGCAGGTTTTGTAGAGGACGTAATGGACCTGTGTGAACAGTCAGGAGCAGTATCACCACTGAGGTCTTCCCAGAACTCCCCTGTACATCAAAACTGTTCTGTCCACACCACCACTGGCAAAACGTTTTTGTCACCTGTGAAATTTTTGGACGATTCTGCTGAGCAGGAGTTTGATACAGCACAGAATATAGATGCTAACAGCCAAGAAACAGCTAACACAGAAGAACGCTGTCAAAATGCTGACCAACACAGTGCTGCAAAAGCAGAAAACAATCCAATTCCAGATCCCCAGCAGCAGAAATCCTGTGTTGAACATGAAGCCAGCATCCCACCGTTAACAAACATAAGTCAAACGGAGTCATATAAAAAGATACAGAATCACAGATCTTCTGTAGACTGTGAGCCACCTGAAAACACCTTGTTAGAGACATTAATTCAGGCTGTGCTTTCAAAGCTTGGTAAACTTTTAAAGTGCCCTCATTCTCACCAAAACGTTTGTTGGATCTACTCTTGGACAAATTCAAGTGGATGGATTTGCATTTAGACCGAAAAGTGCAGAATTATTTTGACTGCATTGCTAATGCCATTTTCACTGATATTTGTGACAAATTACATAAATTGTCACTAATATCATTGGGGAGGAGTGGGGAGGAGGATTCAATGAATTTAATGGGACAACCAATATTTAATATCATAACTACTTCAGTATTCCAAGAACACCTGTTGGCAGTAACAATTATCGATAGACTGGAATCATATGAAAAGAAAGAAAGATGCAGACTTTCAGTGGAAAGCTTTGTGGAAGGACTGATTTCCCAGGTTGCAAAAAAATCAGGCACAGTCTTCAGCATTGAAAATGCTGAAGCTATCTCCAACCGGCTTACCATGAAAATCTGGACTGAAATCAGGGAAGAATACGACAAAATCCCCCAGAGAAGTTCAAGAAACTCAGCGAGAGGGTTTTCAAATCCCTCTGTAAAAGATGGAAGCATGCAGCGGTTATTGTGACATTCTGGCAATTAACGTCCAAGATCTTGATGAAGATATTGTTAAACTTTCAAAAGAAAGCTATTCACAGAACCAAGTTGCATATCTAAGTGCTTCTCATCGGTGCGTGCATTTTTTGGGAGGTTTAAGGGAGGAAACAAAGTTTCCCCTTTATAGTGACATCGTGATATCAACAGCAAGATATTTTCTAAAACTCACTGGACACTTTAAATTAGCTAGTTTTACATTTAGATCAGATCAAGTCATTTTTGAAATCCCAGGAATGGTCGCGGCAGATGGCCACCCCGCCCTGAGCCTGGTTCTGTCGAAGGTTTCTTCCTCTTAAAAGGGAGTTTTTCCTTCCCACTGTCGCCTCGTGCTTGCTCAGAGGGGTTTGTTCTTTTGGGGTTTTCTTTTTAATACTGTAAGTTGTTACCTTACAGTGTGAAGCACCTTGAAAACATCATTGTTTCCTTTGGTGCTATACAGATTGAAGTGACTTGCACTGACAACATAACTAAGCTGGGACTTTAATTTAACATCAATAAAATTATAAAAATATTACATCTTGATTTCTGCTTGTTTTCATTGTCTGTGACTTAATGAATACAAATGTGTAATTTAACAGATTTTTTCTTTATGTTAGTCTGACCGGTGATTCCACGTTGGCCTTAGGTGTTGGCGCGGATACGCTGCAGCCCTGAGCCATTAATGGCCCAGCACACTACAGTAAAAACAAAACAACAGCCATCTCTCCAACTAGGAAAGGAAATAATAAACTGCCTCCTTGGAGGCAACTGACTCAAACAGTTGCAGTCCAACTCAGACGACTGCAATCACTCTCAGGCAGATTGATGAAGATCTGCAAATAACTGTTGTCTAATTTATAAACGAGACAGATTGCCAACACGTCTGTTTACAATAGAGGACTGTACTTACATGGTTGCAAACTGGTTGTTGTCTTGCTTATATGAAAACATTGCTTTGGAGCAATGAAACCAAACACATTCATTTTTAAAATGCCTCAAAATGAAATTTTGAAATATTTGGCTTTATGCTTTGAAAGTGCCGTTGTGAGTGGGAGTGTGAAATCCTTACTTGATGTGTTCCCTTTGCCTTTACTGTTTTCAGTTTTATTTGTCATATGCAGTTAGCACAGGGTCAACATTGCAATGAAATGTGTTTGACGAGCAGCAGTCCTCAGCAGCATGGTACAGTAGAATATAATAAAATATAATAAAATAAAAATAGAAATAGTAAAGAGCAAAATATTAGAGAGACGTGGTAAAGAGAAAAGATGACTAAATATATATGTATCTATAAATATAAATATATGTACACTAGTGATTAAATAAGAAATCTTGAAAAGAATATGACGGGAGCCAAATGGGATGTTGCACAGGAATGAGCAGCAGAAAATTACAGTATTACTCAGACTTTTAATAGTCATATTGTCAGTTTTGGCCGACGGTCATGGTCACTTCACTAAAATAGCACGAGACTGGAGTAAAATGTACTTATTAATGAGAACAATGGTGATACAGCAAAGAATCCAACCCTTCTGAAAGCAAATGGCTTCCTGTTATACTCTACCTGATTCAGTGAGCATCTGGAATAGACCAAGTCTGGGGTCAGTAAACCAAAGGAAAACAAAACCTCCCCATAGAAAACCACTACATATAACAAGATATAGCACATCATAGACATATGAAGATTTGGAACAAGTCTATAAATAATTCATACATATAAACTTCAGTCTCTTCTATATACATTAAAACAGCGTCCCCAACCTTTTTTGCGCCACGGACCGGTTTATGCCCGACAATATTTCATGGACCGGCCTTTAAGGTGTCACAGATAAATACAACAAAATAAAACTAGTACCGGTACCGGAAAAAAAGAAGATTTATTCATAACACACGTGAAAGACCAGGAAAACAGAGTTAACGATAAACGATAACAAATAACGATAAAAACTCTGAAAACATTTATTTAAAATGACTGGTTCCCAGTGTTTCGTGCCTGTTTTCAAACAGTCAAAACAAACAGCTCTTGATTACTGTTATGAATGAGAGGAATGATTACAGCGAGCAAAAAGTGCCTCGCCATCGAAACCAATTCATGAAGGGTAATGCTATTAGAACACACTGCAATACAAAGATGAACTAAATCGTGATTCCCTCCAGAACCGTATTTTTCCCCTTAAGCTGGTCAGTAAAAAAAAAAAAACTATCTGGAGGGCCACCTAAGAGTTTAATGTGCAGGAAAACATTGGTCTTAATGTCATGAAAAACCTCTGGAAAGTTCTCTCACCCCAAAACCTGTGTTAGGTATGCAGAAATGCTCCTGGTTACACAACTGGCCAAGACAAACAAATGAGGAAAAGCACATAGGCTACAGAAGAATCTCAAATGAAAAATGATGTGTGTGAATAGAGAGGTTGAATGGGTATAAATAGAGGCGCACACTTACTTGTGCGAGTACACCAGCACTCAGATTTTTACTACTGTATTCCATGCAAGATTAACTTCAAGGTTTTCCAAGGAATGTTAACAGAAAAATGTTAGAGAGCGGTCAGAAAATTAACCGTATCAACATCGACATCTATGGAGGTGAACATGCTGGTGATAGAAGAACTGCATAAAACAGTGCTCATTCATATTACAGCCTTGTTTGAATAAACTTTCCTTGGGTTGGAGTGCGGGCCAGCTTTCTTTCACTGTGAGCATCCCGTGTGTCATGGTCCCTGTGCTCCCCGGCCAGCCCAGTGTGGCCACAACTGTTTGTTGTTTTCTCTCGCTCTGTCTCTCCTACCTGTCTGCCTGGCGGAGCTCTGATTGGGCTCCTGCCTTGGCCCACGCACCTGCAGCTGATCGAGTGAATTGCAGTTCTCTGGCTCTTAAGGCTGGGCTCTGAGCTATTCGTCGCTGGAATATTGAGTAACTCTCGTTAGTATTGCCTGGCTTCCTTGCGATTCTACTGTTCCGTGTTTGCCTTCAACTTACCTCGTCTGTGTAAACAGGTTTACCTGGATCAGCCCTTTGTGACCCTGGACCCCGTGAGCAGGAGAGTGAGCTGAGCTGCTTGTGTGGAGACTGTTTGGACGAGGAGCAGAGCGAGTGCGAAGAAGTGTGTCTCCCCAGCCTATCGATCCCCGGGACCCTGGTGTTCCCCCCCCCCCCCCCTTCACGTGTATATAGTGCACCAGTGTGATTAATAAAGTGTCGTTGAACTGTGCTACTTCAGTCTGCGCCTGAGTCCGTTCCACACCCGTGACAATTCATCTGTGCTTGTATTCAAGTTTACAGCAAATCATCTGAGAAATGCCTTTGAACTGGTGCTGTTTCTGGGCTTTTCTTTTGACACAAACTGCTCACAAAGAAGGACGAATGCTTAGGGAACAAAAGCTTTGGAATGTATTCTGCAAGTACAGGTCAAACGTAATAGCCTCATTGTTTTATAGCAATGCTGAATTAACTTATGTCACTGCAGGACAGTGCAGCCAGTGGGGCTAATTGTTATAGTCACTGTGCACGACAAGAAAGCATTTGACATGGTGAACTGCTGCCACGGTTTTAGAGAGACGTCTGTTTGTAATTAGAAGTAGTTGTTCTGTTAATTTGGGGTTTTTCTCCTTTGCTTCTGCGTAGAAGACGACCAATCTGCACATCGAGAAGCTGTCCTGTCTTCAGCTAGGAGTCCTTCTCCAGCTGCTGCACATGCTAACAGGCAAACATCAGGGAGTAATACAAGCTTTTAATGCTTATGTGAACCACAGGCGTGCTTATAATGTATCAACCTGCAGTGAGACTGTAAAAGCAAAATCTTTCTTGATTTAATTTTCAGTGCACAAATAATAACAGATTCAGGAATGTATTCAAGGAAGAGACTGGCAAAGAAAGAGTGGGATAGTCAGGGAGCTGAAGGAAGGAGTACTAAAAGGCTAGGTGCACAGCAAAGAGAGAGGTGTCACTGGCACAGGAAAAGGCTTGTAGTGAGTTGTATGTGAGGCTGGACACTAAGGAGAAAATGATTTTTAATGAATGGCAAGGCACATAAATTGTCCTGGAAGAGAGTAACCAAGTATAGAGATGGAAATGTGCTAATGTGAAGAATGTGTGTTGAGAAGAGAGAAGGAGTACTTTGGATGAAAATTGAATTAGAGAAGGAAGCGAGGCAACTCTGAAGAGGATGGAGACGGAGGCATAGAGAGGGTAGGAGTGAAGGCTATGATAAGGTGCGAAGAGAGTAACTGTGGTGCTGGATTTGTGGATGTAGTGAAGGTGGACATGCAGGGGGTTGGTGTGACTGAGGAGGATGCTAGAAATAGAGAGATGGAGGCGGATGATCCACTGTAGCGACCTCTAAAGGGAGCAGCCGAAAGAAGAAGAAGCACAAATAATTCTAATCATGCTTTTCTTTTATTCTCAGTACTAAGCTATGTAAAGGAAGTCAAGGTTGTTTCCTCCTACAATCACTTTGTAGATGGTTAGACTTG